AGTAGTAGTAGTAGTAGTAGTCTTAACAATAGTAGCAGCAGCCGTAGTACGTGCAGTGGTCGTAGTATTCGTCCCTGCAGCAAAGTGCCGCAAGCGGGGCAACTCTGCTTCGAATGCATAGCGAAAGGCGAGGCCAAGTGCGACGCAAGACTTTCTGCAGGTGGCTCGGATGGAGTTTTACAGGGCGGGTCACGAATATGCAGCAGGCCAACGTGCTGAAATCATGCTCCGGGCCGTTTAGCTGCCACATGCAGGTGAAACCGTGCAGCACTGGAGCCACCTCAATGGGCTGTGGGGGCGGCCCTGAGTATCATAAGACAGCTCTGCAAGGTGTCTCACGCCATTCACCCCTTCAGGGGGCTCCCTGGATTGGGAACTCGGCATGCCAAGGGCAAAGATGCCTTAAAGCTGCACTCCGCAGTTGCTCTAATCATTCTCACTCGCCTTCCTTCTTCTCTTCCTCGGCCTCCACAGAGAGTCGAAGTCAAGCTGGCGAGTGGAAAACGCCGTGGCCTCTGGCTTCTCGGCTTCGCCTTCTGCCTTCTCCTCTTCGGCCTTTCCTTCAGCCTGAAGCAAGCACGTGCTTCGCTGCTTCGCTTGGCCGAGCTCTCTTTTCCCCGTAGCCGTCGCCTTCTCCTCGCCATCTTCATCTTCACCCTCTCCCAGCTGTTCCTCCTCATGGCGCCCACAGCAGCAAAGGCCAGGCCAGGTTGGTACGCGCAGACACGTGAGGCCAGACTCGGACAGACTCGCAGTAAGCTCCCCGCTTTCTCTGCAGCTTCCCGTGCCGCCTGTGCCGCTTCCTCGGCTGCTACTGCAGCCTGGCGGGCCTTTTCGTAAGCCTGGAGCAGCCGGTCCCAAACGAACCTATGGCCCCCACATGGCTCCCGGCCTCGACAGGGATTCCCTTCGCGATCAGCTCGCGGTGCTTCACTGCCTCCACGCCCAGAACAGCTCGCAGCTTCCCTTTTCCGAAACCCCCGAACCCCAAAAAGCCTCAGCCCCACCATGCCCCCACTTGGCCACGTGGTTGCTGATGGGGTTTGCAGCTTCGGCAGGGATTTCACAACCTCCACAAAGCAAGCCTGCGAGCCAAGCCCGAAGCCCTGAGCCTTCAGCTGCCCAGAAAAGCCCCAAAGATCTAAAGCCGACACCCCCCCAAAGCTCACCGTCGTCACTCGCTGGGCAACATCTGCAGGGAGGCCGCAGCTGCGAAGGTCAACACCTGAAGCGGGGCAGAGGCCAAGACATTTCAGCGTCCGTCCCCTAAACCCTAAACCCAGAAAATCCTGGGCTTCCCACGCAGCAATGATGGACTCTTGGCCAGGCAGCGGGCAAAGACAGCGAGCTGGCCAGAGGCTTGGAGACCTGAAATCTGTTCAAAGGCACAACACGTTTTGGGTTTTAGGGCTTAGGACTTAGGGT